CTCAATTTCCATTCGACTAAACAACTCCAGCAAAAGTCGTGTTGACAAAATCGACATGTCATATGCATACATCCTCCATCCTTGGCAATCAAAATTTTGCAATTTGGACATGGTTTCGTCATGATCTCTGAAACTTCATTTTTACATATTTTAATAGGTTTTACGGTGTGACTTGTAAGAAGGTAATTTTCATAATCTTTACATGATGATGGCCAATGTCCACCCATAAATTCACATGAGGAACACCAGGTTAAAGTACAGCCATTACAATGTAAGAGTGATGGTATTTCAATGCTATCCGAATTTTGTTGAGATAATGAATAATCACATTTTGGATTTATACACCATGAAAATTTTTTTGCTGATTGGGATTTTTTTGTGATTCCTGTATGTTTTTGAAGTTGATTAAAGGATTCACGAAGACAAGAATAATATTTGTAAATTAATTTTGGTGAAAGTAATCGTCCAATTGTTATAGGATCAACGAAATGTGGACAATTAACATCACCAGGGCATCTAATTGTGAACACATGATTTTCTGATATCTTTAGCGAAAGATATTGAATAAAACATTCATTACAAACACTATGATTACATATGACAAATGTTATTATTTCACGGGTTGGAAAAGTATCAAAACAAATGCTGCAACTTTTTTCGTCATTGTCATCAGTGGTTGCATGTATAATGTTAGTATTTGTTTCGTCATTATTTTCATTTATACTCTTTGTAATAACTTCGATCGTCTTTTCAACATTCCAAAGATTCTTCATTAAGAAGAATCTAACCTTTGCAATATCAACTTCGACACTGCAAATTTCTTGTATGCCTTCAATAACTTGAAGCTCCATATGAAATTGAAGTTCCATTATTTTTGAAGGCGAATATGAATTTGTTTGCCAATTAAGTATTCTATCTAATAATTCTCCTACCCACCAATCATGATTAATATTAAGGGAGATATTTGAAAGTCGTTGATTATCCCATAACCAATTTCTTGCTAATTCCGCTATTTCATACATCGCAAATTCTTCATTATTAGCCATTTCTTGTGCTTTTAAATTTAATATAACTTCCAATTCTTCTTTAACACTAATTTCATTGTCAATTATATTCGAAGAATTTGAAGTTTTTGAATTCGTAATTAGCACAGGAGTAACTACACGAACTTCAACAGGTACAGAAGGATATCCAGATGGCACGTGAAATAATACATGAATATATTGTTGTTCTACATTTTCACATTGATGCTGGTCACCAGTAGCAACCATCACTCCATACCATCTAGGGTTCGTATTTGAAATTGAGAGATCGTGAGCATAAATTGTTTGTAAAACATCAATTTCTTCTTGATTAATCATAATTAAGAAAAAAAAAATCGTAATTTTATAGATTATGGTATATACAAATATATATAAAAATGAAAATTTTTTTTTGGTTTATTTGTAATTAAATAAATTAAAATTCGAGATGAGTTTTTTCTTTTTCTTTTTATAAATGTACGCCAAGACGATCTCATGTTTTACTGCGCTCCGGAATTAAATTCCGAATTATTGCTGTATGACCTCGAAATGTTTAGTTTAGAAACTGCGTAGAAGTTGTTTTTTTTTTAAAAAAATAAAAATACTTGCATTCTGCGTAATATTAGTAAACGGTACGCATATAACGATAACCAATCGAATATTATCATATCGCTAAGCGCAGAAATTAAATTTTCTATTCTTATATTAGAATGCCCTTTCGAATCATTATATAATCAGATTAAGTTGTATACAGGATACTATTACGATTGATATAAGTGAAAACCTGAAACTTATTATATGCAGCTGCAGGTTTTTCACGCACTCATACAATAACCGAATCGATAAGTTTTTAATGTCGGCCGACGCCCGGTAATTTATCATTCTGAGTCATTAATTTATCGATTCGGTTTTTTAATTGTCACAGGAATAATAAAAATAACTGTAATTCATTGTTGCATAATTTCCCGATGCCCACTTAGTATTAATTCTTCGATCTCATACTGATAACCTTATTTTTATTTCTGACAGCCCATTTCGCCGATAGAAGTTTTCACCAAATATTTTTTTCCCGATCAAATTAATTTCCCGACAACTTGACTTCTCGACATGAAATATAATAGTCTATAGTTTTCTAATGGTCGATAATTCCAAATATATACTATATGTGATGAACGGTTATCTTAAAAAATTTCTTAGTTAATTCTGATGAATGAAGGTTTTCGCTAATACAGTGGTTTAATTGATTAAAGATCGTGCTTGATTAACATAATTAAACAATTATGAACGTTAAATTTAAGGTTTTACGTATTACTTAGCTATTTAGTCGATCGCTAGTTAAGGCCTCGATAACTAACATTAAAGGTAAATGAAATTTAGATTTATCACGCTTTTTAAATTATTGTAGTTAGCTAATTCTGCACGGAAATCTGGTACGTACGTATTTGATCAAATTTTATATTAGTTTATTGTTTATTCTATTGTTATTAAAGTTTTAATCTTACCTATGTTTTTACGAACTTTGAGCAAACAACGTCTGATATTTAAGACTATTTTCAAATCTTATTTATTTCAAAATTTGTGAAATCACAGTTAAAACTAGAATTTTTTTGGTCAATAAATTACGAGATTTGACATATTAACGAATATTACTATATACTAAAAAACCAAATTTCAATTTCAGCACACCCATATAGTCGCGAAATAATGATCATGGATGTTATTTCGAAAATTGCTTCCTTTGAAAACATCGTATTTTGGTTTACCACCTTGTATAACACGTATTAGCTAAGTTCAAATTTTGTCTATTTGTTTCAAGATAACGTACGTGGACGTCTTTGAAATAGCGCGTAGGGATGCGCTATTTCGAGACTATTGATAAGCTGCCACAACTAATAAAGAGCTATGAACACGAACATGCTAGCTTGGGATATATTATTTAATGCTTAAGAAGCATATATTCCATAACAGAAGGAATATTTACCGTATTATCATTACTTGTTCTTCGCATTTGGGGATACCACTTTTGTACGTCTAACCCAAAGATGCTGATGAATAAAACTAGATTGATAAAATAATTTCAGTGAAATTGACGTTGAATTGGTCTCTCTTTGAAAATATAAAACCTACCAAAAACCATTTATATTCTTCTATTTATAATCAAATACAGGTGACCCTCGTTAATATCAACCCATTTGAACCTGTTTTAAATTATGTTGATAGTGATATTAACGAAGGTTTATATTAAAGTTGATATATAAGAGGGAATTTTGATATATAAAAATTCATAAAATTTGGTTTTTGGCATTAACGAAGTTGATATTAACGGGGTCACGTGTATAACTCAATCCCAAATACAACCAAAAATTATAAAGCTTTCATATAAAATAGATCCAATTTCTAGCATCATCCTTTCAAGCATCAATTGCGACATTAATTATCCAGCTTCTCATGCCACACATACTTATGCGACAAAAAACTTTAATTAAATAAAAATCCCAGTATTGGATGTAAACGTGAGTAACAGAAAACAGAATAAATTTAGTAACTTGCTTATTTTAGAGTATATCGACGTAAATCTTAGAGTTACAATAATGACAATAACAAATATCATTAAATTACCGATAAATTAATGTTATTGATTGAGTCTTTGAGAGAATTTCTAAAGTCGTTCGGAATGATTTTATTATATACATATATACGTATTCTTGAATTTCAATTCGACAATTCGGGATTTATTGTTCCCATGTGAGCCATTTCTTTAAACAGTTTTAGAAACGACTTGTTAAACCCCTTTTTTACATGAAAGAACGGGGTTTTTTTGGACAAATTAGGTTTTGTACGACATTGATGAGAGTTTGCTGATATCATAATTGATCGATGAGAAAAAAAAGTATATATAAAGATTTTGATTATGGTTTTTCTTTTTTTTTTTTTAACAACAATGAGTCGAACTAATTGGTTTAACGTGATACCTCTCGAAATTTTTGATATGACGTAAAAGATCATTTTATTACAGTATTTTTCGATCGCAAGTGTATCTTGGATTTTGACCCGTTCAAAATATTTTTAAAAGTATCTGTAATAGATACATTTTTTCGTGAGAGATTTTTATTCTTACTTCAAGAGGCTTTTGAAGCATCAGAATGGAAAAAAGAAGGATATTTAATGATCGAGAATGATATGGGCAAATTTGAAGAAGTTTATGTGAATTTTTGGACCGTATTTGTACGTTGGGTCAAATATCAAAATAATTATGTTGAATTTGCGATTATTGGTCCTAATAAATATTTTACGAGAGACATTAATATCTTTTTTAAAGAAGTGGAAGATCGAATTTATTCAAATATTAAAGATATTATGCAAAGGATAAAGAAATGTAAATTTGCAAGTAGAAATAAAGAAGTTTGCAATTTAAGAGGGGTTGGTATGCGAATATTAGAGATACTATGTACAGGATAATGATAGGTAGATTTTCAGGTGCATTTGATGATGTTTGCAATTCAAGAGGTGGTTGTTTTTATGAATTTAAAATGTGCCTTTGGAGTCTTGAGTATATTTATGATGAAGAGAATGAAACATGTTTGTATTTTAAAGAATTTCATAGATTATTAAAAGAAGCGAATTCGTGTGAACAGATTAGTAAGTTGATCGATTTGATCGATGAAACTTTGAACTCTTACGGAGATTATAGGTTTAATGAGGAGATTAAAAAAAAGGTGATTTAAGATTAAATTTTGTATTTCTTTTTTCTTAATGAAAGAATTGTTGATTAAATAAAAATGGGTTTGTTTCGCGTAATAACATCCACTGTACGTACGCGTTATTTCGAATACGCGCATGTGTATTATTTTGAGATAAGGTCAATTTCTTGACATAAGACAATATTTATACATTTGGCAATTTATTAAAGATTCAATCTGTGACCTTATCTATTGTTATTTGGATGCGCTGAGCATACTATTGATAAGAAATACGATTTTTTAATAACGTTATTTCATGAATACACGGAAATGTTTTATTCTTTTTATATGTAAAAGGTTTTGTATTCTTTATTTAATATTTTTCTTTTTTTTACCTCTTTAGTTACCTCAAAAATTAGCAAAATGGCGGCGTTTTATATGCTGGTGCTTTAATTATCATTTTCACAAATTTTATATACAATTTGCGATTAAAAGAAAATAAGTCTGTAATAAATTAGATTATTGTATTTTGTGATAAAGTGATAAATGTTCAAGTAAAAATTAAGTTTCTGGTAGTTTTATTTCTGATATACGCTTGATCCTCGTTAATATTAACCTTTCATTAATAAAAAATTGAGTTCAAGCTATATAAATAATAATTATTTCTTTGTTATCAATTTTTCAGATATCAACATAATTAAAGCATCTTAGAGAATGTGCATCTTTTTTCTGGTTCTTTTTTCTACAAACTATCATAGTTCTGTAGTTATTCACGAATTCTTGAAAATTATAAATTACGGTTGCTAATAATTTTTATCAGAGGATAATCTTAGATATTTGCTGATAACAATATATATATTTAGTTAGATTTAAGGCTTAACGTTAAGGGAGCTATGGGTATTATAGCGCAGGGGAGTATTGTGGCGCACTTATGTTTTCTGACGATATCTTGCGATCCACTGATCCGAATTGAACGATTTTAGTACCGTTCGATTCGTCTTATCGAGACGAATCAGATGGTAAAAACATCGCATTATTTGGATCATCAGACCACAAGATAAATGTAAAATTCCAAGAGAAATCCTGTAAACTTTGTTAATGTTTTTCTCAAACTAACGATATTTAAAAATGTTACTCAATATAATTATATAATTATTTATTTTTATTTATATCTGCGCACCTACGAATAATACATCTACGTATTATGTATCACCTATACTTCATTCGTACACCATACTTTAAAAATTCACATACCTATACTTTAAACATTCATACATCCACATGTCTATGCATTAATCATACGCATACATATATTTATTCATAGTAAATCATCCATACATCTACGTCCTCGCTCACCTACACATTTTATTATTTGAATACCCTTATTCATATACCCATACGCATTCGATTATTTGCACACCCACATTCAATTAATTATTTGCTCACAATTACAGTGATGCTCATTGGAAGGTTCTAGTGACAATTACTGGAACTAGATGACTGTTAGAATGAAATGGAATGCTTCCAGATGGCGCAGCAAGTTCCAGTTATTATTAATCATTGGAAATTTTTTGTCACTGAATAGATGGTCTAGTGGCTTCCAATAGCTAAATGAATTTACAAAATTGAAGATATATTGTGGTCGTGTGATCCAATTTTGATAATTTTGGTATCAATAGATTCGTCTCGGTCGAATGGTACATCAAAATCATCCAAATTGGATCACATGATCACGAAATATCAAACAGGTCATTACATAGGTTCCTTCATTTTGTGATGACCTAAGTTCAGAGAAAAAAGGCCAGATTCTTCCAAGATTCACCCCTCAAAAAAAAAATAATTAAAAATATTTTAAAAAAATCTAATCTCTTGATTACTTACAAGACTTTAAGAACTTCTTTTGCAATTCCTGAAAGAGTATCATTTGATTTTTCCAAGTCTTATCATGCATTAATAGTGCAGAATAATATTCCTGAGGTTCAGTAAATCTTGACACAAAATCTATTACACATTCCTTAAATAAAAGGTAATGTGAGAAAGAGCATTTGATGCTTAGGTTATAATCATTCCATTCTAGATCACAGTAAGATATATTCTTTAGATTATTATATAATTCTTTATGAAGTGATGAATGAGAGCTTGAAAGTTTTGTCCAATATAGTAATAAAAAAGTTTCTTTATTTAGTTTAGTAGATAAAACAAGGGTTCTGTGATAGGTTAAATTACTAGTATTGGTAATATAAAAAGTATATTTTGAAGAGATTTAGCGCATTTTACTAATACGTTGCATAAGTGAGAAGGATATTTTATTTAACCTTTTTTATATCACTTATGCTGATTTTTTTTTTTAGCGTTGGTTTCAATTTATTGCGGTTTGCAAAATTCTGTAATCCCCTTAAAAATTAGCTTGATTACTGGTGATTACTAATGATTTCTAATGATTTCTAATTTTATTATACTACTCTGAAATTATAATTTCATATCGCGATATCGGAGTAGTTTTGATAATTCAGAAATCTCCAGTAACCACCACGCTTTTTTTTTGATAATTTTTAAAAGGGGATACAGAATTTTGCATAAACGATTAGATAATCTCTCATAAAGATAGCACTTCTTGAATGTGTGCCAGGTTAATAGCGCAGTTAGCCGCATCGTAGCAAAATCACGAGACCCAAGATTAAATCACGGTTAATGAAGATTAACAATGTCACGTAAGGTTAAAATGATAAGAAAAAATAAATTAATATATTAAATTTAATTAATTGTTCGTACAAATGATACAGTTATGAAATTGTTACAAAATAACTTTGAAATGACAAATAAAATTAATTTAATTGATTTTTTGCTCAAACTACGATCCTTTTTATCAATTTTTCTTTTTTTACGAGAGGGAATAGTTTGAGGATCATGATTTTCCTTTACTTTAATTAAAACAGTGCGTGGCTTTTTAGCTCGTTTAGACCCAAACAACTTATGCCGTTTGACAAATTCGACTTGAATGCGGATCATAGAACCACTTTTAATACGTTACAGTTATTATATTACAAGAAAGGAGTAATCGCGAAATTGAAAACAATTTTTGATGCGCAATATCTTGTAATAAAATTTATCCAAAGCACGATATTGGGATCTGGCATTTTGGTAATCATTTTTGATTTCTTGCAAGAAAATATCAACCACTCATTTTGCTCAACCGAAAAACCATCAGCTTCTTCATTCTGTTCAACTGAACCATCAACTTCATTCTGCTCAACTGAAAAATCATCTCTTTCTTCATTTTGTATGATTGATTCACTTGTAAAATACGAAATTATTTATTAATTAACAATAAAAAAAAAAAAAAGCATACTTTGAAGTTACTTCCAATAGTTTATCAAATGATTCGAAATGTAATGAAGTATAATGGGAATTGCTTTTGTGACGTGACTTAATCAGAAATATATCGATATTTGTATGTATCGATGTTATTAAAAAAAAAAAAAAAAAGGAATCCAAATGTAGATAAATTTTTTTTTGGTCGCTAACTCCATGCTCCAACGCCCATTCTTGTCGGTACGCTAAAACTATCATTATGCTGTTAATGTTGAGCAGAAAGAGTATGGAGAAATCCAATATTATAAATTAGTATGGAAATGTTAATTAGTACTGTAATTATATTATCGTTATCGATTTTATACTTAAGTATTACGTACTCTGCATGATTGATTAATTTCGATCGCTGAGGCTAGGCTTAGGCTAACTATGCCACCAACCTGGTACACATTCAAAATGTGCAGATTTCTGTTTAGCTTTCTTCACCGAGATCATAGATCTGAGATTATATTGGTGTGTTGTATTTGTTGCGTTAATTGCGCTTATGACTCCATTGGTTGTCGTCCCTCTGTCTTGTATTCGAAATCAGAAAACCATTATTTTCTACTAGACAACCAATACACAAATAACACACTTACTTACTCTTACAGTATTAAGTTTCTTTTCATAATCAATTTCTTACCAAAGTGCGGAAACCTTTGGATCGGACATTTGGTTCTAATAAAAAAAATAATAATGTACATAGCGCAGAATGATTTTGACTCGTCGTCAATATCTATGTTGAACATAGAATGAATGATTTTGGCTCATCGTAGTATCCACAATGAGCATAGAATGATTTTGATACGTAAATAACAATGTTTAGCCTATTTTGACGAGCTAAAAGGTCGTCAATGCCCACGACGAGCGTCAATGCTCATGAAGAGCAAAAAGGTCATCAATAGGACAGCTAAAAGGTGTCCTACCTAGTCGTAGTAAACAGCTAAAAGAGCAGCTAAAAGGTGCTCTGTATTAGTTTCACCACAACGAGCTAGAAGGTCATAAACAAGACAGCTAAAAGGTGTCCTGCGTAGTTGTGGTGAAACCCCTAGTCTAATGCGCCTACCTTCAAAGCACGAAGTATTTGCCGGGCTCATTTTCTTTTTCGACAGCTATATTTCTTTTCTAAGTTTTCTTCAATGGTATTTAGATTGTCCTTCAGCCAGGAGTTCTCTTTACGAAAGGAGCCACTGAAGTCTCTTTATGTTTTTCGAAATTGGTAGTATCCTGAATGGTCCAATTTCGAGGTGACGCGTCAAAATACACGAGATTTTTGTTCATGAGTTCAATGTTGAAATATTCGTTTTGATTTACCTCTCTTAAGTATCTGTGTTACGGGTTTTAATCATTCAAATCGAGAAATTCATTCTTTTTTAGTTAGAATCGCCCCCTATAATGTAGGGGTATAAATAAGAGATATCATATGTATTGTTATGGGGTGAATCGTATCCTTTACTATGGAAAATACGAAAATAGATAGTTTTAGGTGATTAGGCAACTCGCCAGAGGCGTGACGATGGTG